TGAAATTCCATGCATTTTATAAAACGTTGCACTTTTCTTCATTGATTATGTCAAGTATCATCAAATTTTGACACTTATTTAATGAATTCCATAGCAACCTTACAAAATGTAAATACTTCTTTAAATTTTTAAATAAAATAATTTATAATCTGAAAACGGTTGATTTCATTCAGCTTAAAGTGTAAATGCAAATTTGTAACTTTGTAAATTGTCTATCTAATGACGTATTAACATACAGGTACTTCCATTTGAAAAACAAAAGTTATATTGCGTTAAAAAGTTTTATATTGAAGTTCACATTGTTAACACCCTGTACAATGTATTTATATTTCGGTTCAATAGAATTCTTAAAGGATCTGTGGTGATTGGAAAGTCGTATTGTTGCTTATACAATTAATTTTTAGATACCATGTTTTAAGCAACATTTTACTAAAATGGCGATAATCTGCCATCGTAGCAAGTAAGAAAAAAACAATTTACGGTGCATATGCAGCGTTTCAAGCTGCATTCCATGAGCTAATGACAAATGGGTGGTTCTATTTAAAAAAAATACACTTTGATCTTGCCTCGCTTTTCTGAGACACTCTGTATCATACAAGATATTTTTAAAATATACGTACTTTGTGCGTGAATAACTTTTATATGAAACTATTTTTCGAAAGTTTACCACCAATGGAAATAATGAACCCTCTCGCACTAAAAAACCACTCTGTATGCACGAAAATTAAAAAGAAAAACGAAGACCGTATTTAGAAAACTGGATTGAGTGTCTATATCTCAAAAACTAACAATTTAATTTTGCCATATTTATCAAAATCGTATTATGAATTATGTAGCAAATCAAAGCGTATTACTTAAAAAAAAATAGGACATTGAAACTAAAAACGGTTTCTTAGCAAAAAATCCTAACTTGCAACCAAACTTTCGTATTTGATTAACTTACGTACGTCTCTGCCAGCAAACATAACAAAAGCTTGTTTGCAATAAAGATTATTTTTTTATCGGCACAAAAGACGAAAAACATTCACATATTTAAATTAGTTACTAACTAGAGTTACGCATAAATCCGAACATTGATTTTCTGAATTTGTAGTGTTAGCCCAGGTCAAACAGATGAACAAATTTAAAACATTTGGCAAACATCCCATTGTCTGCAATCCGCTGTATCCACAAAAAAATACCTTTTCTGTCTGCGACTCCTTAAAATCACCTCCAGTAAACGTTAGCGCATTAACTAATGTAAATTAGTAAATGTGTAAATAATTTATATTCAAATAAATAGCCCAGTTTGATTTAACCTAATCTTCAATTAATTTAACAACCTTTGTCCGATTATTCAAGCCCCTTTAATTTGTTTAGTGGCCGTATCAAAAACGCTGAATCAGTACATTGAACAAAGGCAAATATTAGTACAGAAAATATAGGCTTTATGTGTGCAAACTGGGTATACATTGAATTGTATAAAGTCCAAAATCAGTCAAGACAGATACATGATTCCGTTAACTCCTGAAAATGGAAATAATCGAACCATTCGCCAAGCAAAAAATAGACGAAGTTTTCCGCAACTTCTATTCCTATCCGAAGGAAAAGCCGTTGGAATTCAACTTAACCAATCAACAGAACATTCTTGAGGTGAATGGGCAAGGAGTATCTGAACGGTATGTGCTGGAAAAGAGTGTAAATTTGACTAGAGCAAACACTTTGGGTTCTTCAGTGGTTCAGCCAGCGTTTCTCGTTAGTAACAAAAGTGAAGAAGACTATGGTGCCTATAAAATTGAACGACTAGATAAACTGGAGAAGGTCAATGTGAACAACGTTGAACAACTGAGGCTGGTATTAAACAAAATTGCTCGAATTCAAGCACAATGCCTCATGGGACACGAATTGTCCTGCGAAAACCGTGAGTATCTCCTGAAGCCCATCGCAAAATCAATCACTGGAAACTTCACAGACATTGAAGAGCAGATAATCACAACTACGCTGGACGGGCTTCAAACCGCCCTCAACAAACTGCTTCAATCCAATCTCCTTGTTCTGAGTAACTGGATGAGCACTAACAATATTTATATAGATACAAATAACAACGATGTGGTGTTTTTGCAAAATAGTCCCGGGCAGCTTCTTCCTCCAGCCCATGATGCTCTTCTCTGCATATTTTCATTGACTACTGAGAAATTTCGTCAACATCACTACGAGGATTTGGCGAACTTCTATTTTAAGTCCCTAATCAATGCTTTTAAAAATTCAAACCAAACAATTGCAGACAATATAACTGAAGCGTATATTGAAACGCAAACAAATACCTTTTTACCGGTTGTAAAATTGACCGCAGCCAGCAAAGCGAAAGGTTCGGATGAATTGCGAGATATTCTAGCCAACATAGAAAACTACTTGAAATTTCCGGAAGTAAACCAGGAAGATGTGTATCATGCGATTAAAACCAAGCTTGCCAGCAGCGAATTTGATTTGCTGAATTACTCTCTAAGAAGGCTGACTGAAAACAATGGCCATTTAGGAGACTATTTCCATCTGGAGATTACAGTTAAGCATCAAGAAATCGTGGAAATTTTCAAGTTATTTGCAAAAATTGTCAATAGCACCACAGATGCCTTTACCGATTTAATTGAAAATGGGCTTGGCAAAAAGGAAAAGTTCTTTTACATCACTTTGTGTGGACTTTTTGATGAACATGGACTTAATGATTTAATGGATTTTGCTCCCAAGTGCTACATGTCCGGATTGAAAGGAATGATTCTAGATGATCTTACTAGTATAGGATATACGCCACTGACACCAGATATTAGCCTAAAATTCGACGGGGTTAGAATAATATTGGAAAAGCTGGCAAAGTTTCATGCATGCACATTTATCATTGAAGAACTGTTATCCAGGAAATGGGGCAGGAAAGTGAGGCTTGGAGAGGAATATTCCGGATATCTGGAAGAAGCTCTTATCGTTACAGACGGCTCAATAGGCGATTTTATGTTTAACCGGTTTCAGTCAATTTTTATTTTGCTTGATAAAGTGCCTGAGTTGACAAAGGAAGTTGATTTAACGAGAGAGGAAATCCATACGCGACTAACAAACGTTAGGCAAAGCCTATTTAGGAAAGTGCGCACATCAAAAACCATAAGAAATGTAATAAACCATGGCGATATGTATGTGTCCAACATGCTGTTCAAATTTGGAGATGAGCAATCTGTCCTGGATGGGATGTTAGTCGACTTTCAAATACTGAGGTATATGCCCCCTGCTTATGAAGTCCAATTCTTCATCAACGTTTGTTCGAGCAAAGAAGACAAAGATAAATACCAGGAGCTTCTTCTGAATGAATATTATGATAACATGTCTGCACATTTGAAGAAATTCGATATAAATCCCGAGGAAATTTATTCGCGGGAAAATTATGAGATTGACCTACAAAACACTAAATCGGCCGCGATGTTAATGACATTTTGCTACCTCGTCGTACTCTGTGCTGATCCAGAGTTTAGAGAAGAAATGATGCGTGTAGAGGAAACGATGAAATTTTACTTGGAATATCATCAGGAGAAATATTTAGATATTGCTTTGAAATGGGAGAACTACAGAAATCGAGTGACGGGAATAGTTCGAGATCTTCTCGAGTGTCTGTAGACGACTGGTGAATAATTTCGCTATCAATGTTTTTGTATGTTAAAGAAATAAAACTTTTTAGCTTTTTTCTTCTCCATTGACAACAGCAAAGAAAGTTGAATGAAACTGAAACAATTTAGAGGAAATGTAGCCAAAAGTACAACACCTTGGTTGCTTAGTGAGAGCAATAAGGCACTTAACCGTTTATGTTTTTATTAATTATATTCCTACAGTTAATTTTGAAGTTTTCCGCTAAAAACAATATATAACAATATACAGGATATTTAGGTACTTAGAGACGGGCAATCTGTTTGACTGACTGGAGCAAGGGGGCGACTATGAGATTTATGATCAAAAAAGTGTTTAACTTATGAATGTAACTGACTAGAGTTGAGTTCATTCGAGTTCAAAGTGAATTATTCATAAAACTTTCTGCAACTTCATATGTTGATGATTATAATTAGACTTCTACTAATTCAAGCAAAAAAAGTGTAAAAAATCCAAAATTAGCAGACACTTTCGATTGAATTTGAATTACATGCATACATGCAAATTATTTTTTAAATAGCATGATTTTCTAGCTTTGAGTTATTTTACATAATTATCAATGTTGTTTTTTTTTATTAAAATGTAGTTAACAGTTTGTGTTAGTGTGACTAAATATAGTAGAAAAATTTATTGTGGATAAATCCCTCTTTTAATAGAAATGATGGTGGCTAATTGATTCGAAGCGGCCAAAGTACTGAACAACTCTTGTGTAATAACCGTAAAAAAATTAGATTGATTTTTCAAATGGTCTAATTCAATACAAACGTTTCAACCAAAATTTATAAATTAATAACCAATTATTATAGTAAGAAACTTAATATACTGTCACCTTTTTTCATGGTTGCAAGTGATTTTTTATAGCATAATTTTCTCGTTTACAATTCTTTCATATAATCATGAAATAGCGTCCGTAATTGACGGCTACAGTTGTCTCAGTTTATTTAATCCATTTTCGTTTTTGCTAATATTTAGCAAACAGTAACTGGTTTAAGTTATTAAATAATACTATAATCTCCACTCACACTCAACTTAACTTTTTTCACGCATTTAGCCAAATCTCGAAACTTTTAGATGATACCTAATATTTCTTGTTGAAGCATTAAAGCTTATTCGTCCGTTTGCAAAAGATACGATCTCATTGTCACTAAATATAGCAGAAAAAATATTTGTAATTAAATTCCTCTCCTAATGGAAAGGTGGTGGCCAAATGACCCGAAGCGAGGTTAACTACTTAACTTGTGCAATAAGTCAGATAAAAAAAACAAAATTATTTTTAAATGGCCCAATTCAAACTATCAAAGTGTAATCAAAAGCTGTAAAAGCTAGTAACCAAGTATTTTGATAAGAAATTTATTATAATGATGTACAATGCCATTTTTTTCAGGCCTTCAGGTCAATTTCTTCAATAGCAAAATTTTCTCGTTTTGAATGGTTAATTGTCGATATACTTGTTTGAATAATTTTCAAATATAATTGATAATTAACGAACTACAGTGGTGTTGGTTTATTGCCAATGTTGGTTTTCGTGCTAATATTTAATAAGCAAATACTTATTTATACTTTGAAATAAGACAAAGTCATCTTACAAAACTGCAAACTTTGCTCACCGATGTAACCGAACTTCTATCTTCTCTATGAATTAAACGAAACTCGCCATCAATTTGTATCCCAACTTTTTTGCATTAGATACTTTTCCAACAACTGACCATGGTACAAAAACCATTGTAATTAAGTCGCTCTTTTAATCGAAATAACGATGGCTAATGGATCCGAAGCTTGTGAAGTACCTATTTGACAATTATTGTGCATCAAGTGACTATACTATAAGTTTTGAGCAATTACACGTTTTGTCCATTAATAATGATTTTTATTTCTATCAAGCGACAATTCTATTAAGAGCAATGTGGGATTTTGCAATACGAAAATTTTAATTTTCTGATAAATTACCACAAAATCATTACTCATGTTGAGTGTATTCATTCCTCTTCTGCATACATATCAGGAACTGAAAAAAATTAGTAACATTTTCCATCTACTAGAGTTTAGCTTCATTCCAGGCTGAGACGCAACAAAAGTAGGTCCATTTTTTTACATATAGGTACGCAATATTAATTATTTCTACGTGATTTGTAAACATCAGCAACATTTTATCGAAAGCTCAGGTAGCTCCTGGTAATCTTGAAGAAAAGACTTGGCGGAACTGATTTAATCGAAGCCATGACCTACTGGAGGTTTTTTCGCTTGCCATAAGTGGACAAAGTTGTAGCTCTGATTTGTTATTGGATGGAAAATCTATTGCTAACTGTTTCTGTTAATTTTTGTTTGTATTCGCAAATACATATCTTACACTGTTTTCATTTGCATATCTCAGCATGGAAAATAAATAGATGCAAGGTGTAAACGGTGAGAAATCGAAAGCCTGTTAAATTGTGGCTCAATTTTCATTTTTACTCAATAAAAGATTCTTAAAATACTTTCAATATTTCACTTGAACTTGAACTTAAACAGTTGCTGATAAATTCGGAAAACTCGAATGCTTTCATATCGTTAATTCTCTGCTAGTGTTATGTAGAAACAAGACTAGACAAGTTATGTAAATGATCCAAGTCGATCTTCAGTTCTTCCGGAACAATTTTCGTTTGACTTTATTGACTAAATTCAGCTGAACCTGCTACTATAATCTCAAATGTCTAGCAATAGAAAACAAGGATTTGAAGAATACGAAACATGTTTGCCTCAAAGTTTTGTACGAAATAATTTTTCCTAAAAGGATCATATGTACGTACAACCAGTCGCTTACATAAGTATTAATGCGTGTTTGCCCGTCGCAATAAAAATTACTTAAAGTATGTTTAGATTCTTATAAACATTGCAATATTGACTGCTTAATTTTTTTATTTATATAACATAGACTTAATGTAAAATTCAAAGAATCATTACAGAGCTCGTAAAATATGAAATTTAAATTTGCATTATGACTTGTAGAACATCTGAATTAGCACAATGAAGATACTTTACAACGTGGGAAATTGATAACAAGTTTGTGGGTATATGACAAAATATTATAGCTGTGTAAGTAAAGATAAGCCCACTTTCACTGCATGTTGCTTTCACTTTTGTTCATAAATAACATTTTCAATAATAAAGTGTTGGACACACCGTTGATAGTACACAAAATACACTTATCATTTTCAACTAGAAACAAAACGAGTACTAAATTCCATGTTTCCTAACGCTATTTAGTTCGATTGATAAGAGTGTATTAGACTGATTGTGGTCTGCATACAATTTATTTCTTTCTCTATCCTATACACAATTTGAAACCCTTAGCAGTTAACTATCAATTACTCCTGTTTGAAGAAATTCTCCTGCCTCTTAGAAGAACATGTTTCAATTGATCTAGCCTTAACATTAATAACGCAAATAGCAACAACAATGTTAAACAACACAGAGAAGAAATAAATTGTTGAGTATTCTTGCAAAGCTCCTCATTTTCAGATATTTTTTTATACTTATAAATTTGCAAGATCGCATCTCTAGTTCCCAAAGTTCAATTGCAAACAAAAAATTTTTGAAAAATTAAATGCGTCTAGGTTGAAATTTTCGAAAAATATGCTAGAAAATCAATATTGTTTCCATTACTGTGTAATATTGTTGGAACGACTGATTAGTAAAATAGTTGTTAGAAGAACAAATCATCAAAATACTCTTTTTTAATGACACTCAAAGATTTGGAAACTAATTATAATAATTGCAAATGTGCAATATAAAAACCAATACGTGAAATATTTACTTGTTTTGAAAATTTGATGTTTTATACAATTGTAATGAAAATAAAAAACTTGTTATTGAAAATCCCCGCAATATTTTTAATGTGATAAAAATTGTCCAATTTCGTAACGTTGAAGAAGAAATTAAATAGATTCATCTATTAATATCAGGCTCTATCTGTATGAGTAACCAGTGGAAATACATATGGAAACTAATAAGAAAACGCGTTTTCAGAGCTAGAATTTCTGACATTAAATGTTCAAAATAATTTCCTCCACATAATACTATACTGGATTCAACTGGATACTCTACCTCTGGAAGTAAGTATTTTATCTAGTCTCAAAATAGGATTTGAGTATTATTTTATTTGCTTTGGCGGCAATAACAAGGAATCTTAAGAGCTTCAAACTTATATAACAGATATTTTAAAATTGTTTTATTTCATGGTGAACTAGTTGTGCTTTTCACTTACAATGTACATCGTGCTTTTTCCAGCTGCACCTAAAACCTAAGTTAAAATTACTTCAATATCTATATCAGCCTTTAAAGTGCTGTTCAATTCTTAAGTTCTCAGTTTACCAACTATCGATTTATCTGCAGTTGACATTATTTATGAGTAGGCATCATAGATCAATATTATCATAAAATCATCAAAGCTTAGAACGCAGATTCATCTAAATGGTAAACATTAAATTTTCCGCCATGCTAGCTGGTAATACATAACATTTAATGGACCCCAGTACGCCATAGGTTATCAAATAATTTTAAATTAGAAATAGGGAACAGACGAAAATTATCTTATGTGTGGCTTGTCAATCTTAATCAAAGCAACAATTCTTTATTACGTCGTTGACTATCCTTTACTTTGAACTGCCAATCTGTTTAGAACAAATGACTTTGCAATTTGCTGCTCAAAAACAAACAATATACACAGCAAGCCAAATACGGCTGGAAATAACAAAAGAATGAAACGAATAGGTTTGAGATTAAAATTTGAGAGAATCTGTTGAGTTCGTTTCAAATCAGGAAATATGTGCGTCATTAAGGCATTTTTTAAATATTTGAAAGACATTGTCCTTATATTTGCATATTACCACAAAAATCTCAGCTAGATTCTGCTTGATTCAGCCAATATATATGTTTTGTTTTTCCACAATAATTAAAACAATACAAATTTTATTCGAGTTGTACTACTAGTTAAATCAGTTTAAATACGGCTTTATAAAACAAATAATTGCAATTTCCAAGTAAATTCATACATTTGCTTGAATTCTTAAAAATTCCATCCAGTCTAAATGAAAAATTTTCAGAGTAAATTACATGTAGTTCAAATAACAATCAAATTAAGATACATGAATTTAAAACCGAAACATTTTTTATTGGCTGTTTACGATCGAAATTGCAAATTTTAACAATCTGTCTAGACACGAAGGCAAATAAATGGTAGTTATTAATTTCTCGTCGTAAGTATAGTTTGATTTGATTGGCGAAATCCGTGCTCGTGGCACAAGTTTTCCAATTCACAATTATTAATAATACAATAATTCACAATTACAATAAAATTACGCAATCATTTTGTTTGAAATTCGATAAGATTGTCATTACGCAAGTACTGTTATCTAAAATTTTACTGCATGTATGTTGCTTAATATACAATTATAGAGTTTTACACAAAAATAAAGCAAATAAAGCAAACACAAGAAATCGCCATAAACGTATGCAATCATAATAACCCCATTATGAAATTTATATCATTAGTTATAAAAATAAGATTCTTATACAACAAAGACTTTGCTCTTGAAATGCATGATGTAAATACAAATTTTTCGAAAATTTTTATTGAATATATTCAAACAAAATGCAATCGAGAATCGTCACGAAAGATTATGAATTAGTATGCATATGGCGTTACATGTGGCTAAACCGGTGCCGAGGCACTCATAGTAGCTCCAACGCTGCCAGACGTTTGAAAAAGACGGCAAAGTATAACGTCCTAGCAAATGATACACATATCCTGTAATTTAATAATAATGGTTTGATTGAGATTGAGATAGAGTCATTAACAACACTTGTTTCTGATAGCTAATATTTGATCATATCATCAGCATCGTCATTTACAAAAACACCTATCAGATTTTTCGATAGTTTTCTTGTTCCCGGGAATAAAATCCGCATTGCGTAACTTTTAAAATTTTATTTCTATAAATTCTCGTTTTATATCTAGTAAAGTAGATCTACAAACTTGAGATCAGGGATGGCCGGTATTTAATAAAACCACTAAAAAACGGTGTTCCAAACGTGTAACCTGTAACCGCAGTTTCATGAATTAACTAATGAGACCGGCGAGAGCCCTTTTAAAAAAACAATTTTATTTCGTTAGATTACAAAAGTTCATAAAATTACTCGTTGACTGCCTACTTCTGACTGACTGGCCTCCGCACATCTCCTTGGTAGTTATTGTCTCCAAACGGACATGATCTGCTGGCTCATCAGTTTATGGGGATAGGCGGTCAGTTAACTCACGTAAAGCATCCAACAAATTCTAAAAAGCTTAAACATAAACTATCCGATCGGAATCAGTCACGGTACTACTAATTCGATTTAACGAGAATTATATTTCACCATTTAATGTTCAGCCGAAATAGTTTTTGTCTATGTTGATGTTTGAAATTTGCATATCAGACATTTAGGTGCAAGATTAGGCCAACATTTCATGTTTTCCGTCCCGTTTTTGCTCATTTCTCG